TAGTCATTTTTGGAGGAGTGAGGAATAATCATACGAAACACATCTAAAAATATTTTGAATTTTGCCAGGTTTCTAGCTTACAAAGCATTCTTATACCCACTACTTCATTTATTCTCTAAATAGCTCTGTGAAGTAAACATTATTATTATTAGCATTTATATTTTGTAGATGAAGAGAGTGAAAATTAGAGAAAATAAAAGACAACCATCTTCCAGTTACTAAGTGGGATGCTGGGATTAGATTAACTCAGGTATTTGATCTACAACATCATTGATTTTTTTTTTCTCTCATACAGTTGCTCGGAATCCAATTGAATTTTCCAGTTGAGCATGAAAATTATATTGTTGCAAAAACAGCTGCAATAATTTACCTTCCTGAATCAACATACTTGGGTATCTCCCTTCCATTCTGATTCTGGACTTACCCATATGACTTACCTTCTTAAGTGGGACAATAGCAAACATGGCTAAATTGTAGACCTGAAAAGTATTTGTGCAATGGGGCTTGCCCTTTCGTGATACACTTTGGAACCCTCAACCTACCATGTGAAGAATCCTTGGCTTGCCTGTTATATAATGAGACATGTGGCCAGATTATCCCTATTGCTCCACCTGAATTCAAGCCAACCACAAGACATGTGCATGAGGCTGTTCTAGATCATCCAGCCCCAGATAAGCCAACTCAGCCCAGAATCACCCAGGTGATGCAGAATTTGTTTATTGTTTTAAGCCATTACGTTTGGGAATTATAATGCAGCAAATACCAATGAATAGTCTATTTCTGCAAATGCCCTTTGTACCTACAGATATTTGAACAAAGCAACAAAACAACAACAAAAATGTATTGGAAATATCCAAAGGTTTTATTTCTACCACCCTGAGCAGTGATTTCTGAACTCAGCCACATGAGAATTACCTGGACACTTGTTTAAAAACTCAGATTCTTGCAATCACCCTAGACCCCCCTAACTCAGTATTTGCATGGCAAGAGCTTGGAAGGTTATGTTTTAAACGAGTTTCACAGTGATTCTAACATTTACTAAAATTTGAATTTAACTATTCAGAAGATATTATTTTTCTCACCCAAATATTCTTTCATGAATGTCTTTTACTAATGTGGTAGGTCACCTGGAAGTTAACTTTTAAACCACGATTAAAGAATCATAGGATGGGCACAGTGACTCATGCCTGTAATCCCAGCACTTTGGAAGGCTGAGGTGGGAGGATCACTTAAAGCCAGGAGTTCCAGACTAGCATGGGCAACATGGCAAGACTCATCTTTACAAAAATTTAAAAAAAAATAGCCAGGTGTGGTGGCACACACCTGTAGCCTGTCGTCCCAGCTTCTCAGGAGGATTGCTTAAGTCCGGGAATTTGGGACTGCAGTGAGCTATGATCGTGCCACTGCATTCCAGCTTGGGTGACAGAGCAAGACCTTGTCTAAAAAAAAAAAAAAAAAAAAAAAAAGGAAACAAACAAACAAACAAACAAAAAACCACTAAACAGTAACAACCCAAAGTTGGTTTGTTTGTTTGTCTCATAGTGTTATTCTCTGTAGTCTCTATAGATTTATAGCATAAGAAGAACCCAAAACTTAAATAGGGACTAAAAATCATGTTACTAAAAATTGGCAAAAGTGTACAAGTTAAATATTTACTTTTATACCAAGGTTATGCTACTAGTAAAGAACAGAAATGATATGGGGAAGAAATGAAGAGGAATGTGATAGGTAGAGATACTCTGCAAGAGAGGAACAGGAGTCTTAGTCACTGGGGAGTGTATAGTCTCTCAAAGGAAAGTGAAGATGAAGAAAAATAAAGAGAAAAAGGAGCAACAAGAAAAATAGGATGGACTTGCTAAGGCATGACCCTAACATAGTTTAAGATTAATACTTACTGTAGATGTCTTGAGTTTCTTTCATGGATTTATACAGTAACACAGAAACAAGATTCATGAGGCATAAAAGAACACTACAATGCCTACATAAGTACTGGTGTCTCCTAACCAACGGAAAGGGGAGCTGAGAGCTAACTCCCAGTGAATGAGGGGGTCTGGTTACACTATGAGCTCAATTAAGAGAAAATCAACTGGCTCATTATTATACACAAGGACATTCATTCTTCCAAGTGAGGGGAATGATTACAACTTGAATAGGAAAGCCACAAACCACTAATCAGGGTATCTCAGGTTTGACCTATTCAAGTATATTCCAAATTACCCAATTAGCTGGATTGCCAATAAGTTTCTCGTAGCAGTTATATTGGCACTGATGATACCATAATCAGTTGTTTTAATCAAGCCTTTGAAAACAAAAATGATGGGCTGAATATAGTCATAACAAGGACTGGGAAATTAGAGCCACCAGGTCACTGCTGTTGGGTTACTCCGCATTCTGCTCTAGTAACTGTTGCTAGAGGATGGTGTGAGCTTTATTTGGTTTGGTTTTTGTATCTCTCCTCCCTCCCCCAATCCGCAACACCCAAGCTCAGGCTTTGTCCCCAATTCCTACTGTCCTAGCCTCTCTTGAGGGGGTAGCATTGCTACTTGAGTGACCTGCACTTGTTTTTACCTGACTCTGAATCCACTGGCCTTCTTGAGCCATATCTTGGTAACCTGGATTCTTAACCATCTTTTTTCTTTTTTTTGCTACACCTTAAGGTTGAGCTGGGCCTATATTCCCTAAATCATAGAGGATGAAAAATGAGAAACCTGCCCACCCTCACCCACCCCTCCACTCCCACTGACTTTCCTGATTAGTACAGAGTGATGGAGTACGTATTTCTTGGCCAGCAATGGTTTGAGGGCAGGAACTGCTCATTCTTGTAGCTCCAGAATACATACCTGGCAAATAGTACATACTTAACAATTGCTTGATGAATGAACCAGTAAATAAATGGGAAAAAATGAAATTTGAGATCATAATTCAACAGGAACCCTGTCAGTCTTGTTTATTCTTAATAGAACATAAAATGATGTCTAGAACATTTGTGCTCAAGAAATACTTTTTGAAAGAATGAATGGCTATGAGCAGTATTTTTTTTTTGCTCTTTCTAATGGAAATCTATTGAGTTCCATATTTGGATTGAGGTCAGGATAGAGATAAGGGAACCGTCACAAGCTGCAGGGCAGGGATTAAGAATTCAGTAATATTTCACTAGAATCTCAGAAACCTTAAAATTGTAAGCTGACTAAATGTCAGGATAATCTTGGGGAGGTCATTGGCCTTTCTATTGCCTATGGAAAGAGGATTTGAATCAATCCTGTCAAGAGGACTGGGTTACCCAATTATAGCACTGTCATAACAAAGTACAATGCTGTGGGAACAAGAAGGCTGAATGATTGTTTGGGAAAGTTGAAGAAAAGATCAAAGAATACTACATTTAGGCAGGTCCTTTTAAGCATTGTTGGCAAACATGCATGCAGAAGTTCAAGAAACTATTTGTCTTGGTTTGGGTTTCCATAGATTCAGACCCTGAGACAAGCATTCAAGTATGAGTGATTTCTTTGGAAGGTGGTCCCAGGAAGTGCTGGCAGGAAAGTGGGAGAGTGACTCAGGAAGGAAAGAAGACCATGAAGTTGTGGTATCAAGTCAGTTACCTACCAGCTACTGGAGGTCGGGACCTCCAGAAAACTCTGGTAGGCAATGGAGGACCCTCATCAATTATTCCCACTAAAGTACCAAAAAATGGAGCCAATCATCCACCAACTTCTTGCCTTGGTTGAAGACATTCACTCTTCCCTTGCCTTGCAAGTAGGTCAAGCATGCTTCCTGGGCAAAAAGGATCCCTGGACAGAGCATCACTCAGTCCACTGTAGCTCCTGATTAAAATGCAATAAAACTAAAATCAATACAGCACCGGCATACCTTGATACCGTTTTTGCCTTTGCAACTTATTCCATTCTTCCTCCTCCCTGCCTTCATCCTGAGCTCTATAATAACAAAAGATAGTTAAGGAAGGCATTGCCCCTTTTGTTCTTGCTCAACCAAGACCTGAAGCAGAGTTGGATTACTTCCACAGAGCAGGGAGGTTGAATTTCATTTTGCTAGGAAAACAGGCAAGTTTCCATGAAGAAATATCCTCCCTGATGCCCTTCACCCCTTCTCTCACCCTGCACCTGCATAGAAGAAAAGAGTGATCATTTCCCTAGACCCCTGGGTAATTGATTCTCTTTGGTGTCCTCTAACATTTCTGAAACTGCTTCCATATCCTGGACTCTAATCTATCTGCTTAACTTTCTGGAAGCAATGCCATTTCATCGTGAACTACTTAAGGGCAATGTTTGAATTTTTTTGGTGCCAACTTTGTATCCTTTAGACCTGGGACATAAAGCATGCTTAAAAATATTAGTGTTGCACGTGGGACATAAAGAGTGATTAAAGATATTATTTTGGATGGACGAATGGATAAATAATGAATGAGTGATGAAGTAAGTGAATGACTGCCCCCGTCCCCTATGATATTCTGGTGACTGGCTTGGGGATGAATTTGCTTCGCCATCCTGATCCTTGTTCATTGCTTCAAGTTATTCACTATCTGTTCCCCAAACCCACTAGGGTGTTACTGCTCAGGACACCAGCTTTTGCAGAACTGCATCTCAAACCCCAGCTTTCACTCTTCTTCCCACATCTCACCTTCTCAACTCTTCATTTGCTTTCCCTGCCCTTTGGTATGCAGGCCCTTGCAAGAAGATAAGATACTGATTAATAATAAGCTCCGGTAAGCTCCAGTCAAATTTTATTAAAACTTTCTTTTGAGAGATATTTTTAGTTTAAAAGACGGTGCCAGGATGATCCTAAAAGATGCCGTTTCTGAGTTTGCAAAGTGGTTAGGACATATATTCTGGAGCTGGTCCCCCTGCTATGCCCTAATTCTGCCATACAATCACCTTCCTCTCTCTTCTGTGGACAGAGATTGGGCATGGGGGTGTGGCTTTCCTGCCCCATCAACTGTAAATAAATTATATTCCTCTGTGACCATTGCCTATCTTATTTCCCAACAGGAAGACAAGATGTGGTTTGGGGATTTCAACTTCCAAGTTCAGCTGTGAGGCCTATGGACTGAATCTTAAGCTTTTTCTTGACATCAGATATCTCCATGTATATGGCAATTCCTGCCACAGAAATCTACTCTCAAAAAAGTCCCGGAACCCCTGAGGTAAATGCCTGAAGAAAGGATGTGGGTGTGGAACTGGGGAGGTGAGATTTTAACCAAGGGTATCATATGAGTATCACAGAGTAGTCCCAAAATGAGTAAAAATGACCTAAAGTCCTAAAAATGACCATAAAGTTCATACATATGTGAAAAGAAAATGGGAGAGAAAAATAAGACCACCGTCTCTGGCAAGAAAAGTCTGTGGGATCAGAGGGTTTAGGTTTACAAGAGTCAAAAGGAACCCACACCTGAGTATCTTGAGGATGGCACTTTGGTGGATAATGACCACATGAACTCAATTTTTCTCGCAAACAAAAAGAACTTGAGTAGTGACAGATGATGGCATGGAGAGGGCTTAGGCTTATAGGAGGGAGAAGAGTTGTGAAATTAGCAAGGAAACAGGTTTTTCCTTAAAAAATGACAGTAAGCTATCTTAATTTTGGTGGATCACTTTATGCAAGGCCTCACAAAATCTTACTTGCAAAATTAATTCAAATTAGATATGAGCACGGTCATATGTATTGAAACCTAGCTTGTAGTAATAAATGGAACAGGGCAACAGTAAATGACAATATATCACGGGGAAAGGAGATTTTTTTTTAGTGCAGGGCTTGGAGGCCTGGTATTTTGTCTGGTCTTATTTAACATCTTCATTAATGATCTGCAGGAGGACATAAACAATAATACAATAATAAAATCTGCACATCAAAATTGAAAAGCAAACCCTGATGAAGTATGAAAAGTAATGCAAAGGAATCTTAAGACATCAGAAATTGGATCAGAAGACAAAATAAAAGCTGAATGGAAAGGAAAAAGATACATGCATATATACACATAATCTTAGTCTAAAAGATTACATACACAATCTTATTGTATAATAATTATATAATTAATTATATTACATATTTATTACATATAGTAGTGTATTATATGTATAAAATCTTCTAAACATTACAGTAAACAAAGATATTCTTTTTGAAGAAAATCTAGAAAGCAATACATGTATCAATATTGGAAAAGATTTTACAAGAGCGTGGGGCAAAAAGTGCCTCAAGAGCGCACATGGCTGGTGTGGCCGCACAGCAATAAAATAGCCACTTGGTGAGAATTTTGGGAAATCCAAGTTTTCCCTCTTCTGACACTTCCAGACTCTCATGTTTCTCTATTGAACATGCACACAAATGAATGTGCACTTCCTGCAAGAAAAGAAAAAGCTTTTTTTTTTTTTTTTTTTTGCAGTTAGGCATATTCTAATCAACATGAATTTTTGCCAATTATTACTACTGTTAGAAAAAAATTGTTCTTTTGTCTATACAAGATACAGTCTTTAGAAGTAATGTGTAAAGTATGTAATTCCGGAAAGAAAGGACCCAAATTAAATTTCTCAAGTGAACTGAATGCTATCAAATATACCACAATTTTATTAATCTCTCCCTTTTATGTAGGCCAATCTTCCTCAAACATTTTGATCTCATGTCACCTTTACACTTAAAATTATTGAGGACCCTAAAGAGCTTTGATTTCTATCAGCTACAGCTATCAACATTTACCATATCAGAAATTGAAGCAGAAAAAATTAAAATATTTATTATTTTGTATGAAGTAACATGAAACAGTACACAATAACACACTGTATTTTATGAAAAAATCTTTTTTTAAACAAAATAATTAGTAAAGAAATGGCATTGTTGTACATTTTGACAAATCTTTTTCACATTTGGCTTAACAGAAGACAGCTGGACTTCATATCAACTTCTGCATTCAATCTGCCGGACATGTTTTGTGGTTGAAATAGATGAAGAAAATCCAGCTTCACATAGACATGTAGTTGGAAGAGGAAAAACAATGCAGACCCCAATCCTATTTTACCTCCAACTGCATGAGAATAACCTTTCACAGCATGGATAAGTCTAAGTGCTTGGGGTTTGTAGTGAGATTCTAAAACACCTTCGAATCTAACATCTACAGTCTAATTAAGGCACCATTCTAAGAGGTCAGACTGGACAGCCCTTTTAAAAATAAGAAATAAGTAGAAAAAAGCTCTTGGGCTTGCCAGCTTATCAGCTGGTATGAAATTGAGTATATTTTACAAATGTACGTGTACTGTTACCAATAGGAGCTCAAGTAAAGCATTTGCAATGCTGAATTCCTGATTCACATTAACACTAATATGGAGGTGACAAAACCTGAAGGTTACGCAAGGATAATATCTGGAACATAAACCACCAAAACTCGGAAACTGGGTTATGTTACTAAAGGAAGTCCAAGGGCAAACAATAACACTATTCTGTAGAACAATAAGCTCAGAGAAATTCTTTAAAAGGGTTCCAAGTCAGACCATTGGATCACCTTTCAGCCTGAATTGGCCAATCAGTTTGGCAAATATTTTTACTGTGCTCTTGACTAGTTTGAATGACTTGACCAAATAGTTGTTTTGGCATTCTCTAAAATATTACCAAAGGATTTGACATGCAATTCTGGTTATGTAACTACTTTGCCTGCTCAGATTTCTTCAAAGGCTTCTCTTTGTGGTGTGCTCCAAAAATCACATAGGAGGAGTTTTTAAATGCAGAATTCCAATACCCATCCCCAGATCTCTAGTTTTGAGGAAAGTGGGTTCTGGGAATATACATTTTAAAGTTTTTCCACAAGTGAGTCTTTTCGTACTCAATTTATAGACAGAAATCTAATAATTGTAGGATTACGTACAAGGTTCTTCATGATGAGTCTCCAAAGTTCCAAGTTTAATTTGACGTCACTCAGCTCACAAAATACCCACACGTTCTCCAATAGTGCCTCATTTTCTCATATCTTTTTTGCCTTTGACCCTGTTCCTTCCTTAGTAATAGTCTTTATCCTCAGTCTTAGGTATGATTTGGCCAACTTTTATTCCTTTTTCAAGAGTCAGATCCATATCACCTCTTCTGTAAAGTCCTCCCTGATTTACCAAGGAGCGTGCTTTCTTATGTTTGTGCCTTGTGCCTCAACTACTGCGTTGTAAGGTTTATCCCTTTATAGAATAAGGTCCATTTACTTGATCACATCTCTGTTAGCTCCTTGGGGGCATAAGTTATATTTTTTTGACTCATATATCCCAAACACTTAGCCCATTACTGGAACATTGTATATGCTAAATAATTTTCTTTTTGAAAATAAATGAATGATTGAGATTAGCTCTGGGTGTAAAATCTCTCTTTGGGAAGAAATGAGACATACATTTGGTGGCAAGTGTCTTTTGAAAAAAAAAACCTCCTCAATAACAACTGTGTTTTATTCTAATATATTAGTGATAACATAAATATTAAAGGGCAACCATACTTCCTAGGAAATATAATGAGAAGGGGAAAATTCTGACAGCACATATCAACTTTAGTCTTTTTCTTAAAAGTTTTTTTAAAAAACCACTTTATTGAGATATGATTGACATATGAAAAGCTGCACATATGTAACATATACATTGTGATGAGTTTGGGATAATTATATACCTGTGAAACCATCAACATCAAGGCCATAAACATGTCCATCATCTCTCAAAGTTTCCTCTTACCGTTTTTATTATTATTGTTGTTGTTTGAATTTTTTTCTTTTAGTAAATTTTTCTTAGTTGTTGGCAGAAAATTAAAAACAGAAGGAATGCTACACACACACACACACACACACAAAGAGGTCATTGTATATAAAACTAGCTAATGTAAATCAACTTTGCACAAATAACATGAGATGGGAAAAGGGGAGCTGCCACCCCCTTCAAGGTAGGAAGTGTCATTAGTATGCAAAGCAATAAACAATGGATTCCAAAATCAAAGTCAAAACAGTAATAAATCAGAGTGATAAGGTGAAAAATGATGGGATAAGCAGCAGTAGTGGCTATTAGTATGTACACCTGGTGGTGAGATAAAGCAATCCAGGAAGGTGCTTGGGAAAAATTCCAATGCTGAGACCAAGAGCAAAGATGTTACTTTGAAGTGGTCAAGGGACCAAGAGCAAAGATGTTACTTTGAAATGGTCAAGGGATGAAGTGGAGTTCGGGATCCTTTGAATGTTTTCGTAAGGTCGGAATGGAAAACCCAGTTGACTCAGAACCCTCTTAAATGACAAATGAGCTCCCGGTAGTCTTTTTAAGGGGCAAGTTGATGAGCACTTTCTGAAGTTTTCTAATAATACAGGCCCATTGTTTGACTACTCCTTCGGTTATGTTGACATTTTGTGACCTAGGATCATTAAGATGATAGTTAGAATTGTATCCAGAGAAATAAAGCACTCTTATCATGTCAGAATATTCTAGACCTGTGACCAAATAGGCCACTTTCACTCACACCTACTTGCCATAATAGTATCAAGATAGGAGTATGTGAGGCCTCCAAAAGCATCATATTTTCTAATTCTAGTGCTGCCTGATGATGTTGGCTTGACTCTTTTCAGAGGGATTCACTGTTTTCATTTTTCATCCTCAAGCTACCAGCAACCACAGAAAAGTCATTCCTGGAGTCTCCTGATGGGAAAGATAGAAACATTGTACATGAACCTTGTATATTAAGTTTTCACTTAATCAATCAGACTCATTATGACTTTTTAAGAATATAATTCTACAATTAATCTGATGTTAGAATCAGTGTGTTTAGTAAAATGCAGATTGTTATTTGAATAAATATTTTGATGTTATTTAATATCCAAACTTATTGGTAAAGAATAGAATGGCCCCAACATGATTAAAATATTTGTGAAATATTCCATTTTTGAATACTCCCAGACCAAAATCAAATTTACAAATGAATCAGTGTAATAATGGGAGAACCTTCTAAATAACACAGGTAAATACCTTTGCAGTTCATACTGTGTAGGTGAAAACTCTCCCTTTTAATTCTCGCAGTAAATATATAACAAGGAAATAAAATGTTTAGCATATACCAAGGAATAACAATAGCTTACATTTATTAAGGCCTTCCTATGTGCCAAGCACAATGGTATTCTTATCATTCCCAGATGCACAAGAGGGTGCAGGCAAAGGCATTGCAAGGGTAACAGTATGTCCAAATCCAGAGAGAGAAAGTAGAATCTGACCTACTTTCAAATAACTTGGAAATATGATTTTCCCATAAATGCTATTTCTTTGTGTTTTACTTTCATATAAGAGTCAGTCTAGAGCCTGTGTCTGATTTCTGTATCAGTCATTCTTCTTGCCAGCTGTTTACCAGTCACGATTGATGCCTTTTTTTTTTTCTGTCCCGAACAGAGAATTTCAAAATTTTCCGAGCTGGATTAATATCTTTCAGTTCTTTGCTTTACTTGTCTGGCTGCTCTGAAAGCCAATCTAATTTGATCTTGGCCTCACCCCTTTGTCCTTCACTGCCACTTTTTGATCCTTTAGCCCTTTCACACTGCCCAGTCTGCAACAACTACAACAACAACACGACAACAAACTAGATAATAATGCATTATTTAGTTACAGGAAATTTTCATGTAATAAAACATAAACAAGTATGTAATGAACAGAATCTCTTCTTTGTAGTGATTAAACTTAGCTGTCAGGGATTTGTTTCCTACAGGTTAACCACAGTGCTAGAAAATAAAGTATAGGAGTGGAACATAAATATCAAAAAATTACTTAATGAATACTGTGAGGAAGCTAAGACATCAGCTGAATCAGGAGAAAGCATTGCTGATTGCAAATCATTAGACTGCTTCTCAGCTGAGCAAATTATTCTATAAGCCATAACTCACAATGGGGAGTACCTGCAACAGCCCAACTCCTACATTTACACCCTGAAGGTGCTTAGGGTTTAGAGGTGCATATATTGCCTGATGAATGTCCACCTATGGCTAAGCAATGCACATGCATGTGTATATGTGTGTGTGTATTTGTGTATGTACTACATCTACTTACAAATATTATACTTATTCCTTTATTAAAAGAACCATTACTTGGCTCATTTAAAACAAAGTTGGATATTTTTACTTAAACAACATTTTCAAATAGCTGATAGCAGATTTCTGCTTTCCTAGTTGATATTTAATTTTAAAAGTAAGACTTCAGAGCCTTAAGTATACACTTAAGAAGTCTAGCAGTCAGTCAGTAAGAGAATTGCTCGCCTAAGTAAATCAGAGTGAGAAGGGAAAAGTCTCCCTTTTATTTTTAATATGAAAATTCTGATTCTATTTGAGTTTCACCCATGTTATGGCTCCTCTATCAGGAATTCAGCTCTTTGCAGGGAAAGAATATGTTCTTAGATACTCCCAAGAAGTGAATGGAAAGGAAAGAACACTAAGAACCCAAGAATGTGTATCTCACATCTAGATCTCTGGCTCGTGAGAAGTAAAAATGGTGTGAGGAATGTATGGTGTATTTCACCTGGGCTTTAGTAGAACCAGGTGATCTCTAATTTTTGGACTTTTTCAATTCCCCAGGCATCTGTGATCATAATGTTAGGACCAAAGGGTGACGTGTGTAACAGGAGAGAGGGGTTATCACTGGACCAAATACATCCATGAATGTACAATGGCATTTAATTAAAACAAACAAACCCTCAAAAAACAATCTTAAATTCCTCCTTGGAAGGAGAGTTCCACAAAGGCCACCACCATGTTTGTTAGTTTCTGTTGGGTAGATGGAAGACACATGCTATCTGTATTTTTTGGAGTTAGACACATCTAGTGACTTTCAAACAGGAACTTGGAAAAGGCCAAGTAGGAGCACTTGCCTATTACAACACTGTGATGTAGATTCTGTTATTACTTCTACTTCTTAGGGAAATAAATTAACCTAGCAAATGGGTAGAGCTGGGCTTGGCAAACATGCATTTTGATACTTACATAAGCGACAAACTATCCTGCCTCCTAGAATGTGTGACTGTGATTCCTTAAAGGGTAGAATGAGCAGATAGGCAGGAGACAAAGTTGTATCCCTGTTTTAGTGTAGGGCTTTGTTAGGGATCATTCAATTTTCCCTCACTTTCTACTTTATACCTATAGTCACACTATTATTATCTCTTGCATATGTCATACTCTCCTACCCCATTTGATTAGTTTCATTAGTGTTTATAATGATTTCACAACACAGGTTGCATACGTTGGGAAAATGTGTGCACTTAGTTGTCACGGGGCAAGAAACTTAGCTGATGGGGGTGAGATGATGAAGTGCTCTGAGAAGATCATTCAGAAGAAAAGGATGTGGACTAACATGAAAAGGAAGATTTCCTACCTAGGAAACAGGAGATCAGAGGATAGAACAGGAATCAGAGATATGTTCTTACATATGCAGAACAGGTAAGCAGCCTGTCAAAAGTGGGGAGCAGTGTGTTCCCACTGCAATGTCAAAGGATGATCTATCTGATAATCTATGTGGCATCTATTAATTTAACAACAATAGTGATGATTATAATATACTGAAGTCTAAGAGGTATTAGTCTCTCCTCTTCCCCTGAGATAAACACACCCTTTTAAACCAATTTGAATCAATTATATGTACATTACATCTCCACAGAAAAGACGACGACCACAGAACATCTTAAGTAACTGCACATATCAACATAACTTATATTCATACAGAAAAGAAGACTTGCTATAGCAACATTCTTGAAAAGATGTCTGGGGATGTTGCACTGCTAAACCTACTTGTCCCTGAGTAACTCTTTTGTGTCCCAGAGTTCCCTCTGATTGAAGTCCACTGAGTCACAGTGGCAGTTGTTTTGATAACATACCCTTGATCGGCTTCCTTCCCTTTCTCACTGGTGTCTCCTCTGATCACTTACAAAATAAACTACCTACACTCAATTCTTGTCCACAGGTCTGCTTCTGGGGAAACAAAACCACGGTAACTTTAGAAATATGGTATTAATGGGTAAAGACACCATGGATATGAAGGAGATTACCTATGGAAGAATATTAAGAAGAGAAGAAGGTAAATAATCTTCCTTGAGGAACATCCACATTTAAAGGTCAGGGAGAAGATATATCAGCAGAAGCATCAGAGGGGGTTGTGGACAAACTATTTTCAAAAACTAAGATGTGAAGACCACTAGAATTTGCTTAAATGCTGTTGGAAAAAGATATAGCAAACAGGAGTGTGAAAATATAGGTAAGTGAAAAGAGGAATAGTCACTGGTGTAAGATTCCCAAGGGAGTAAGATAAAATTGAATCCAGGTCCTGAATGCTGGGATAAACTTTGCAAAATATTTGGTAGGTTGGGTCATAGAAAACAGAGGAAGTTCTTCTCTGATATTTGGATAATTCTGTATTTGGAAACAACAAGATAATGGATTGTCTTTCTTCCTACTTTTACCTTACTGTTTGAGTACTGGCATGAACAAAACTCAGAACATAATGAATCTCACTTATTTCCAAGTGGGCTACTCCGTTATTTAAAAAAACACATCACATGGACATGGAGTTTGAGGAAAATATTTATTCTATTTAATATTAAGTTAGGCTTCCTTCCTCTATTCATCAAATTGAACTGGATAGAATAGGAGTCCCTAATCCAACACCTCCAACTGGAGAAACAGTCTACTGATTCTCACAGATCTCATGCCCTGCTTTGTGTAGATAATTTTCATATGGATTATAATGAATAATATTAATTTAAACAATTCCCTAGAAGCCTAAAACATTTTGTTTGAAGCTCTTCTTTGTCCATCTAAAAATAACATCTGCTCTACAAGGCTACCATCATAATTGAGTTCTACATCTCCAGTCACAACTAGAACCAAAATTACAGTGGACATACAATAATTCTTTATCTCTTGGTTCCAGATTTTTCTCAGTTATTTATATCTCTCTATTATGGTCTCATGTTCCTTTCTGTTACAGAGTTTCAGTCTATGTTGAGTCAAGCAATTATAGGGCTGCTTAAACTCTGGTTCATTAGCCATGGTCCACTAGCATCCATGTCATGGCGCTAGGGTTTAATATGGTTAATAGGATCCTGGATGAGGAAGTAGATTGAAAATTAACTTTAAATTAAACATAAAACACTAAAAATAATTAGAAGCATTTAAAAATAAATGTTTCCATATATGAGTTAGAAAATCGGACTTTATTTTGATCCTAGGGGCTGCTGGCTATAGTGAAATGTATAAAAAAGAGAGCGTGATCCTAGTTTCTGTCTCTACTATGGGTTACTTGTGATTAACTTCAAATATTCCCTCCGCAAGAAGAGGCCCAGTAGAAGAAAATGAGCTTCAGTTATTCCAGCACAACTACTGTGATATTTGTAAAGATTCAAAACCTATAATAAAATGTGTAAAAGGAAACTCCATTTGAAATGATTTGAAATCTCACATGGAAATCTAGTTTTTTAAATCAGAGCTTAGTCAGAGAAAATAACAGAATATTGTAATAATTGAATTACAAAAACAAAAATTTTGGAAAATAATTTTTTCTCTCATGTGATGTGTGTATGTCTATCTATTTAGCAATGGTGTTATTCCATCAAATGGGATTAGATTCATTTTTGACTCCTGCTAAGCACCCTGTCCCCCCAACCTCAAGATTATGAAAGTGGAAGGGAAGGGGGAGATAGGGAGGAAATATGACTTATTTAAACTGTATTAAAATGCTGAAATAAAATGAACATTCAAAACTCCTATGATTGAATTTAATCTTTTGTTCAACTCATTCACTGAGGAAATCTGTCTCCAAATGGTTCATATCGTAGAATATGATGACTCCAGTAACCTCTCCTAGACTCCACATTTGCTATAAAGACTATCGTGGCTGATGATAGATGATGAAATTTACTCTCATGGTTTGCAGGGAGCCTAGTGCCAATAATTTAAGACTTTCCATGATACATCACTAACTTTATATTCTAAGCAATCACAACCTATTTTTATCCACCTGCTGTTTTATGGCTTAGAAATCACTTTATTTGTTTGTGATGGTAATTTATTATAAAAAAGATTTTCAAATTACATATTTGCATTGAATTAGGGAAGGAATTAAAATGCTTTGCTCCACCATTCTTGGTAAATAAATATAATCTTTTCAATAGTTTGAAGGTTCTCAAGGAAATGAGACTCTTGGTCACTTTTAGAGTTTTTTATTTATGAACAAAATCTGTGGGAGCATATTCAAGTTTTAGGCAAGAGAAGCCCAGAAATCAGTTCTTAAGTTAGTAGAGAAGGGTTGTAACTACATATTTGGAGGACTTTTATCATTTAGAATATGTCGTGGGTGGCTCTTTCAAAATATTGTCTACTAGCAGCCATTGAAATAATATTTCTCTTACTTCAGACATCTGATGGCTACCTTTATAATTTCTGCCTATAGGAATCTATTATACCTATATCATTATTTTCCTAATTTTTCTTCAAATAAACTCACTTTTCACTTCAATAAATTTACATAAGGGAAATTTGATATCACAACTATGAATTAAAACCATGTTTAACAACCGTAAGTGAAAGGTAATTAAAAAATAAAATCAATCTTATTAATTCTAGTTAGATACTATTCCTATTGAAGAATAAATCATAAAAATAGACATTCAGATGGGTGGAGAGGCCTTCAATATATACTGGTATTAAATGAATGCTTTCTCCTTGAGAAATCAGAAGGGTTGAAAGATAATTATAACATTATAACTTCATGTTATTTAGCATCTAAACCAATACCGCTAGTAGTATACCTCCCACACTTTGCAAACAATGCATTAAAATAGTAACTTGCAGCTAAATCAATTGGCAGTGTCCTATACACATTTTACCACAATTTGATGAGATCTAAAAGTGTTGTTGTTTCCTTTTCTCCAATACATCAGTGATGGTTGGTTTCAGTTGAATGGTATCTTAAATTTTATTTGAATCATTCTACCACCGATAATACAGAGCTACTTATAGTTAAACTATATGTTGCTAATAAATTGCTCTCCATCCTCTCTTAGTTTAAACTCCTTGTCATTCTGGTCAGCTCTATGCCCAGTTTCCATGTATAATTAAATATGTGTGTGCACATGTAGTTTTTTATATCAATGATATTTATTTCATAAAAGATATAGATGGACCAGCTCACATCTTTTAAAATCACTCCTATTTAGGGTATTCATGGTAAAATTGTTTTACCTTTTCTGTATTTTTGAAATGTTTCATAATAAAACATTGGAAAAAACAACTTATAGTATGCGACAACCGAAACCGTGCACTTTCCAATTTGTTCTCAAGTTAGTGGTTAAAAGAAAATGCAATACACTGTAGCTAAATAAGAATATTACTAAATTTTCTTCACACAGGTTTGGGTTCTTAGAGTCTTGGTCTAAGGAAGGTCTCAAAAATCCACATAAGGTCCCAATAAATATGTAGGTAAGGTCCCAAATATATGTATATATTTGGTTTATTTTTTCCACGCATAGCTAGAAGTAAGTAACTTCAGACCTTAAGCCTTCTTTTTTCATTTCTGATTTGTTACATTTTTATTATAACAAAAGGTTTCTGAACTTCAGCATTGGGAAGGTACAAAAGGTAATATTCAGATATAAGGAGGATACATGTTTGAACTATTGTATAAGTATCAACAGTCCATTCCTTTCTGTTCATTTGGTCTCAAGTTTGCTTGATTTGGCATCTCAAGCTTGAAGTATGCTAATCTTTCTGAAATTACTTGGTGAACTTTTTTACCCTTAATTTCCAGGACTAAATATTCACTCAAACACTTGTATTCAACTGTGTATATAGGGAGCATTTAAAAATCTTTGTAGTAACTTTTGACATGTTTGCAGTAAAATCTCCAGCATTATAGTATGCAGCAAGCAGTTTTCTGAATGCAGAATAATACATATGACAGTTCCACAGTGCGAGTGGTCCTCATTACCTTTCAACAAATAATAGTGACTCACTCACTAAATAAAAAGTAATGATTTTAATGAAGAATATTTGAAACTTGCTATTACTGGAGAAAGGCAGATTCACAGACTAATGCAAATGATAACATCTTCTGAAATATGACTACATTGGGTCCTTACACTCAACTGATATACAAACTGTAATAAAGCTCTTACTGTTATTCAATATCACAATGGCATTAACAATATAATTCAAGTTGCTTTGTGGAGAAGCCAAAACAAAGATTATATAATATTGTTTTTTGATTTTAAGTTTTAAGATCTTAACTCTGTTTAACCTGTTTGCATCAAGATCCCCAAAGTGAAAAAGGGAAAAGAATCAGTATGTGAAATACACTCATATTCATATTTTTACTCTCATAACAGCTCTTCAACAAATAAAATCTCAATTATTTGCAATAGCACAAGCATAAAATATTCTATGACAAATATTTTAATTTGTGTGCCAAAATACCCTGTTTGGGCAGGCAGGCCATGCAAAATCTTTTAAAATCTATTTCACATTTTCTTCCTTGCAATTATTAATTACAATTACTATGGGTTAAAAAAACCACAGTGCTTGATCTTTCTAATACCCAGTATCTTAAATCAGCACTGCATAGTGTATATAAATAAAGATTATACATGTTTTCTGGGACAACATGTCCTTCCTCACCCTTGAAGTTTCTGACAGGTGGCCCCTAGTGTAAACCAATTCACTCTCCAGTTGGCACATCCCAGAACACATTGGATTTGTCTGTAACTTAGGCATGTAGCTCCAGAATTTTTATCTTTAGTTGAGGAAGTCTGGACGATAGGTCTATAGGACACCTACCTAAACATGTTAAATTTGTTTACTACAATTATTCTTACCGCCAGTCTAGTTCAACCTGCATAAATAACTTGATACTCATTAAGTCGAAGGGCTTTTGAAGCAAATATAAAACAACATAGCTTACTATGTGCACTGCTAAATGTTATTGGTAACCTTTAAAACTCATTATCTATGTGATGACAATATTGTAAGTTATTCCAGAATTGCTAACAACCTTTTATAATGAATGTTGGTTGTTACCAAACAACAATATGAAAGTGTAGAGGGAAAATGAGGACATTTGGAACATCAGGAAGCGTTACCATAGTATTATAGAGGCATAGAACTGAAAGGAGTGTAAGAGAAAAAATAATAATGCCTAGCACTTCATCTTTTTATCCAATCAACAAACGTTTATTAAGCTTCTACTACATGCCAGATGCTGATAGTAAAAAGATAGAGAAGGTATATTCCATCCATGAGCAAGGGCCAAGAGGGAGAGAGTGACACACAAGGACACAAGTCAATAGATTGGTGGGAGCTTTGAGAGGAGAGAGGGTACAAATCTGAGTGAGGACTGGAAGAAAGTCCCTCTGAGTTTTATTTATGAGTGAGGACTGGAAGAAAGTCCCTCTGAGTTTTATTTATTTCCTTCTTGTAATCACCTCTGAATGGCACCTGCATTTCACTTAGTCCTCATATGACTGTAAGTGTTTGATGATTGCTTTGAATGGGAGTTTGCTGCTCCTAGTAAAGTAAATATTTCTTTTCATGAAGGAATTCACACTAAAACATATATATTTAACAATTCTCAGTAGATAATTCTCAAGCAAGAAGATGTCAAGAATGAAAGTACTTGTACTCTCTATTTAAATAGATGATTGTTTAGAATTAGATTAGTTGCTGTCCTCAATCCCAGTCACATGTTAGATTCACCTGTAGATCTTTAAAAAAAATACACTGCTTGGTTTCCACCCCAGACAATCTGATTTAATTGGCCTGAGGTAGGCTAAGGGAATGAGTATTTTTATAGAGCTCCCCAGTTGATTTTGTCCTGCCAAGAGTTGAGTGTTTGGTTTAGAGTAGTGGCCTTTTTCTATCAGCTCTATCTGAGATCTGAGTAAATCCTTCAACTTTCAAGTACCATATTAATAGGACTCACTACTTGCTAGGGTTTATAACAGCCTGGATTAACCTCCTCTGCTTTCTCTGAAGCCCCAGAAGCATTGGGCTTCTCCCTGCTTCATTTTCATTTCCTTGAACAGCCAGTTATAACCCTTTTAGCGCAGTAGTGTGCTCCTCTTATTCTGGGGCAAGTTTCTTCATCTAGTTCTTAATATGCCTTTTTGCTGGAAACTGAATTAAATTTTCTCCTCCTTTTTGAACATATGTTATTTTTATTATAAAATATGTATTTTTATAGAAAATTAGTAAGGCATTAAAATAATGTATTTATAGAAAATTAGTAAAGCATTAAAATAAGAACAAAGGTTACTCCAAGAAGCAGTACTTCTCAGGGTATGTATTTTTAATCTTTTTCCTATGTTTATATAAACATATATATATATAAACATTTTGTTTACAAACAGTATCCTATAGTATCAAAATACCTTTTATAACCAATACTTCACATGAAAAATTTTACCTTGAAGAATTTCAATATTTATGAATAATTTTATAGATCATAACTTTAAATGGCTGCTTGGTGTTCTATTGAACATGTTATCCTTTCTAAAAAAACAGCTTCCTTTTTTTGGGCATTTAGGTTGGCACCATTTTTTTTTCACTTCCAAATGTCCAAATTTGGATTTTATTTTTTAAATGCCAACTTAGACTCTTTGGGGACTTTAAACCATGCACAACGATTTTAGTATTTTACAAGTTTTGTCTTCTATATCATCTCTTGTTTTCATCCTCTTTTTAAAAACGCTTTTTTATTGCATTCTTTTCCTTCTTG